CCTGCTCTGTATCTGGTATTGAGGATGCAAAGATGATTTATTTTTTCATTTATCCCAACCCATAGTCTATTGTGATTTAGTTGATTCCTACTCATAGCAACCCTAAACAGAGTAGAACTGTTCCATAGGGTTTCCAAGGCTGTCACCTTTATGGAAGCAGACTGTTACATCTTTCTCCCATGGAGCAGCTGATCTTTCAGTTAGCAGCCAAGTATTTAACCACTGTGCCCCCAGGACACCTTACTAGTCCATACTATTCCATGAAATATTCATGATATGCAGACATAAAGAAAGATTCCTACCCTGTTGTTGTTGTTATGTGCCGTCAAGTCGGACCCGAGTCATAGCGACCCCTCCTTGGGTTGCCAAGGCAGTATCACTATGGAGGGCTTAAAGTCTTGTTTTCTTAGTCATTTGCAGAGAATATGTTCTTAAAATTCATCTGTATGTATATATGTACGTGTATATGTGTGTGTGTGTGTGTACACATATATGTACATGTAAATGTATATATAACTGTGCATATATAAAATGTCTAATCTTGATATATAAATAATTCACATTATTTTGAGCCAAGAACAAAACATTTAAGTCCTTAAATTGGTTTTCACACAAGTCTGTCCTATCTTGTGTTGTGTCAAATGATAGGGATTCAGGCCAAGGGCCACCTGTGCTACACTTGTCCAAATTTTTCTTGACTACATGGGAAAAACAGCATTCATGTTTCTTCAAATCAGTGGCTCTTTTTCCTCTGATGTAGTAAAAATGCACTGATATGCTGGAAGAGAAAATATTAACAGAAAAAAATTAATGTAAAAATAGTTGAAATTCTGATATAATTTATCATTTATAATTTTACAAATTGGTAGATTTAGAACTTTGGCTTCTAATTTCAAAGATTTGAACCTCTGCAAAATGTGATTTTATTCCATGAACCATAGTTGACTGAGTTGGAACCCTTTTCTAAATGTATTCTTTAATCTTGCTTTTACCAGAGGTCTTTGGATGGCTGTGTTTGACTGACTTGAACTTAGTGTACACATCTTTCTAAATATGTAGCTTTGGAGTGAAATTCAAGGAGCCCCAGTGGCACAGTGGTTAAGTGCTTAGCTGTTAACCAAAAAGATGGCAGTGAACCTACCAACCACTTTGTGGGAGAAAGATGCAGCTGTCTGCTTCCATAAAGGTTTTGGCCTTGGAAACCCTATGGAGCAGGTATACTCTGTCCTATACTCTAACTCACTATGAGTTGGAATCAACCAGAAGAGAGAGGGGTTTGATTTGGGCATTAGGTTGGGTTCTCCCTGAGCCAACATTTGAGACAAGGATTGAGTACAAGCAGTTTATATGAGAAATTATGCCAGGAAACACCAGTAATGCAGTGGGACAGACACATGGACAGGAAGGATACCAATAAAAGGGATATCACCAAGTAGGTTGTCACTATGGGCAACTGGGGCTTAATCTGACTCAGGAACTCTGGGACACAGAGAAGAACATGCCTCAGAGCTATCCCACTTTAAGGGCATAAAAGCTGATCAATTTCTCATCTAATTCCCATCCATTGTGGGATGTGTGCCATTCCCAGACCACTTCCTGCCTCCCTGGCCCGGCCAGGAGAAGCCGTCTGGAGGAGCATTGTAGGTGCTTGCCATCTGACTCTGTTCTCATGTACTGGAAAGGTGAGTACTGAGGGAATATGACTACAAGTTGTTTGCCTGTGCAAACTCCATTAAACTAATTTGACTGGTTTTCCCTTTGGAGTGGCCAAATAAGTTCCCGGGAAGAACACACTCAACATTTCTCAAGCTGAAATAATTGAAGAAAAAATTTAAGCCTCAAGTTGCAATATTGAAAGATTCTATGGGCAAAACACTGAATGATTCAGGGAACATCAAAAGAAGATGGAAGGAATACATAGAGTCACTGTACCAAAAGAACTGGTTGACCTTCATCCATTTCAGGAGGTGGCATATGATCTAGAACCAATGGTACTAAAGGAGGAAGTCGAAGCTGCAATGAAGGAATTGGCAAAGAACAAGGCTCCAGGAATTGATGGAATAACCATTGAGATATTTCAACAAATGGATGCTGCACTGGAGCACTCACTCATTTATGCCAAGAGATTTGGAAGACAGCTACCTGGCCAACTGACTGGAAGAGATCCATATTCGTACCCATTCCAAAGAAAGGTGATCCTACACAATGTAGAAATTATCAAACAATATCATTAAGATCACACACAACTAAGATCTTACTGAAAATAATTCAAAAACAGTTGCAGTAGTATATTGACAGAGAACTTCCAGAGGTGCAAGCTGGATTCAGAAGAGGATGTGGAACAAGAGATATCATAGCTGCTGTCAGATGGATCTTGGCTCAAGGCAAAGAATACCAGAAAGATGTTTACTTGTGATTTATGGACTATGCAAAGGCATTTGATTGTGTGGATCATGACAAATTATGGATAACATTGAGAAGAATGGGAATTCCCAAACACTTGATTGTACTCATGAGGAACATGTACCTTGACCAGGAAGCTGTCATTCAAATGGAACAAGGGGACACTACATGGTTTAAAATCAGGAAGGGAGTGCGTCAGGGTTGTATCCTTTCCCCATACTTATTCAATCTATATGCTGAGCAAATAATCTAAGAAGTTGGACTATATGAAGAAAAATGTGGCATCAGGATTGGAGGAAGAATCATTGACAACCTGAGATACGCAGATGATACAACTTTGCTTGCTGAAAGTGAGGATGACTTGAGGCACTTACTGGTGAAGATTGAAGAACATAGTCTGCAGTACGGATTACATCTCAATGTAAAGAAGACAAAAATCCTCACAACTGGACCAATAAGCAGCATCACGATAAATGGAGAAAAGATTGAGGTTGTCAAAGAATTCACATTGCTTGGTTCTACAATCGAGGCCAATGCTTCCATTAGGACATTAGATGATGTGTAGCACTGAGCAGGTCAGCTGCGAAGGAACTCTTTCAAGTGCTGAGGAGCAAGGATGTCTCCTTGAGGACTAAGGTATGCCTGACACAAGCCATGATATTTCCAATCGCCTTGTTTGCATGTGAGAGCTGAGCAATGAATAAGGAATACCAAAGAAGAGTTGATGCTTTTGAGTTGTGGTGCTGGCGAAGAATGCTGAAGGTACCATGGACTGCCAAAAGAACTAACAAATCTGTCTTGGAGGAAGTGCAGCCGAGATGCTCCTTGGAAGCGAGGATGACCAGACTTTGTCTCACCTACTTTGGTCAGGGGGACCATTCCCTGGAGAAGGATGTCATGCTTGGTAAGGTGAAGGGTCGATGAAGAAGGGGAAGGCCTTTGATGAGATGGATTGACATGGTGGCTGTGACAATGGGCTCAAGTATAGCAAGGATCATGGAGCTGGCATGGGATCAGGTGGTGTTTCATTCTGCTGTGCATGGGGTCACTATGAGTTGGAAACAACTTGATGGCACCTAACAATAACAACAAATAAATTCCCATTTTCACTTCTGTTTTTACTAGAATTAACCAACTTTCACTTCAATTGTTCTAAGTTTTCTTTTGTGGCCATTATTTCTATCAAGTTCACTTTTCTCACATCTAAATTTTAGTTTGTGAGGATATAGCCACTGTTATTTTTATTTTTATTTGACTGCTTCTACCAGTATTCAATAGCATTCCATACACATTGCGGTCAATTCAATTCTGACTCATAGTGGCCCTGTAGGATAGAGTAGAACTATCCCATAGTATTTCCAAGGCTGTAAATCTTTACGGAGGCAGACTGCCTCATCTCTCTCAGGAGTGGCTGGCAGGTTCAAATCACCCATATTTTAATTAGCAGCTGAGTAGATTTACATTTTAGTCTCACTGAGCCTCAATTTTGGGAGCTCTGGGGGCACAGTACCTAAGGCATTTGACTGCTAACCAGAAGGCTGGCAGTTCAAACCCACCAGCCACTCCTCGGAAAGAAAATTGGGCAATCTACTTCCATAGAGTTACTGCCCTGAAACCCAAGGAAGTGTCGCTATGAGTCGAATCTGACTGGACAGCAGTGAGTTTGTTTTTGTTTTTTTTTCTTTGAAGCCTCAATTTTAAAGAACCCTGGTGGTGCAGTGATTAAGCCTTGGCTGCTAATGAGGGGTTACCAGTTTAAACCCACTAGCCACTCCATGGGAGAAGAACCTGGCAATCTGCTTTCTTAACAATTATAGCCTAGGAAACCCTATGAGGCAGGTTTACTCTGTTCTATAGGGCCTCTATGAGTTGGAATCGACTTGTAGCACACAAGAACAATCTTCAATTTAATCATCTGCAAAATTGCAGAAATTTGCAAAGTTTCTAACTCCTTGTTTGGAATCAATTAAGATAAATGATTTAGAAAAATTGCTGGTCCAGAGTAAGTGCTTAATATATGCAATTTATTATTATTAATATTTAACATCATTAAAATGATTTTCATTTATTCCATATGCCATTGACCCCTTTCCCCACAGTAGACTCACCATCCAGACTAGGCATAAAGAGCAAATGGTTGTGTCGAAATGACAGTCAAAATGTCCCACTTTAGGGAAAATACTTTCCTCATACGGTTATTGCAACAAATAAATAAAATAATGTCTGTAAAGGGTCTGATACATAGTAGACACTAAGCACATGTTTTCCCTTTTGCTTTTCTTGGGAAAGGTGCTTTGAATCTGGGGACTAGGAGAAATAATGTGATGATGACTTCGTCAGCATTTCTTTAAGACTGGCTTTCTTAAATCCAGAAGGGTTTGAGATGTACTGATTTATGTATCATATTGAGTTGATTATAATGAAGCTCCAGTATACCTTCCAAAATGGTATATTTTGAATGTGATTTGTCGTTCTTATTTTCTACCTCTCCCTCTGAAATCAGCATGTCAGAATGCTCTTTGTATTATTTATGATTATAGCATAATCAATTGTTTTACAAAACTTGTGCATGTGCTATGTGTTTTTGTCTTTTTTAGATTTACTTGTGGGTGCATTTGGAACAGGAAAAGTAGTGGTTTACAGGTATGTGGTTGGTGGTATGCAAATGTTCTAGTTGTTTCAAATTCATTTTCTTTTTTCTTTTTTTTTCCTTTTTTGTTACTTTTGCCGTAAAGAGCATATCCCAGCTATTTATTGTAGAGATTATTTAGATCTTCTTTTTTAAGTTTGGTGTTAGTTTTGCTCTTTTTTCCAGTTTTTAATTTCATTGTTGTTGTTGTTATTTGCCGTCGAGTCGGCCCCAACTCATAGCGACCCCTCCTTGGGTTTCCTAGGCAGTATCGCTACAGAAGTAGGATTGCCCAACCTTCCTTCCGAGAAGTGGCTCCTCTGAATTTTTATTTTCAAATCTCAGGACCAAACTTCCAGCCTCTCTTTAACATATTGTTAAATAAGATACGAATCTTAGCAGATCTTATAAAATGACCCACTTTTTAGTTGTGAGTACATTTGCATTCTTCTCTTTGCTTTGGAAATGCATTGAAAGCAAGCCTGGACCCTAGAATAAGGAGTAGACTAGGAATTGTTGTTGTTTTTGTTATGTGCCATCAAATTGGACCCGACTCATAGCAACCCCTACTTGGGTTTCTGAGGCAGTATCACTACGGAAGTAGATTGCCCAACCTTCCTTCCGAGGAAGACCAAGAATTAGCAGCCTCCAAAAGCAGGTATTGAACAATGGCTGGAATGTGACAAACCTGGATTCAAAGCCTGGCCCTTCATACACTCATCAATTGTTAATTCTGGATAAGCTTCTATAACTTTCTTAGCCTCTGGTTTACCATCTGTAAAATAGAGATGGTATAATACTTAATTTGCAAGGTTATTTATTAAAATGAAGGGAGAACCTATATATAAAGTATACTAATAGTAATTAGTTTGTGCTCAAAAACGTAGTTCCTTTCTCTTCTTTTGCCCTTCATTCTTCCTTTTTCTTGAAAACAAATTTATAGGCATTCAAAATATTATGTCAATAGGATTTTCTTTGTTGGTTACCAGGGGTGGGAGGGGAGGGGAGGGAACGCTGTTAGATAGATAGAGGTAAGTATTGATTTGAGTGAAGAGAAGGGCAATGTACCAAATGTGAGTGACCAATATGGCAGCATTGAGGATGAGAAAGACATAGAGAGTTACATGGGCAGTAC